ATGACCATCTCTGTGATTGGTCAACTGATTTTAAAATAATGGACAAAACTTGTAAAATAATGAAAATCCTGAAGTATCTCTACCCTCTAGGATTTGGAGGGAGCTTTTGTGATCTTTCACAATTGCACAGAATCCTCTATTATTCGTCCATGTATAAGACAGATATGATGAGACTAAAATTAGTGGGTTTTAGGAGTAGAGAAGAGGGGATAATCATTTAATCTTTTTTTTCCCCTGAAAGTGATTTTGCTATTAACTTTTCTACTTTTCTCCCCACAGAAGTAGAAACATATTTTACAAATCTATGTTTAGTTTAATTTACACATCCTTTCATGACTAGGCCAAGTTCTTTACGGGCATTTATTCTACTTCATATAAATAATTGATCAGCCAAGTTAATTTACTTCTGCCTGACTTGGTCAACCTTAATTAACTGCCCTGGAATAAAGACGGAACTTTTTGTTAGCTTAAAATCTTTCACAAGCATGATAACAAGGTCTTTATTTCTCTTAAGTTTTCTGCACCAGCATTGTAACCAAGGAAATAATAATAATAAATTCATTGGCAGAGAAATTATGAATTTTCCAGAGTACAATTATATTAACAGCAACAATAAATAAGCTTCCTGGACTTAGTTCTCATCCTTCCCTGCATGTCCCTCCAGCATACATACATAGATCAATCTTTTGAAGTCACTGGCTCTGTAGGGTTGCTGGGAAAAAAATGAGCACTGGGCTATTAGCTTCTCAAAAGCTTTACAGCATTCACAAAATTTGGCAGTGTCCTTCGGAGAAGCATGTTTTTTAATCTATTCAGTTGATTTAGGCAGGGGCGTAGATGGTAACCTAACAGTGCACCAAGTCATTACACTTCAAAATGTAAAAGGAATGTCAGAAATCCCTCAGATTATCTCTAATTTATCTTGTGTTTATTTTATTTGTGCCTAATTGTTTGTATGATGTTTCTCCCAATTAGATTGTGATCTCCCTGAAGACAGGGACTGTTCTTGCTTTTCTTCGTATCCTCGGTGGTTAGCATAGTGTCTGGTAATAGGCCTTTAATAAATGACCTTTAATAAATCCTTCCTTCCCTCCCTCCCTCTCTCTCCACCCCTCTCTTCCTTCCTTCTTTTCTTCCCTCCCTCCCTCCCTCTCTTCTTTCCTTCCTCCCTCTCTTCCTTCCTTCTTTTCTTCCTTCCCTCATCCTTCCTCTTTCTTCCTTCCTTCCTTCCTCTCTCCCTCTTTCTTTTCCTTCCTTCCTTCTTTCCTCTATCTCTTCCCTTCCTTTCCTCCCTTCCTCCTTTCCTCCTTGCTTCCTTCCTTATTTGTTGAAATAATTATTTAATTTGTGCTCTGTTTTTCTGCCCTTTGGTAGAAATATGAATTTCTATTCTTTATTGAAATTAATAGCATTCCCAGTCCTGATATTGTTTTAAATTGTCCAAAATTTTGATGACATTGCTTATACTTGCATGCCCTTCAGAAAGCTCTATGTCCCTGATTGGTGTGGTAGATTATAGGACATTTTCAACCTACATTCAACCTTTAGCATTTGAGTAATTACGAATATATTCACACCAAAACACTCCTTCGTGTAATTCAGGTGCCAAAGCCTCTTCCTTTACAAAGCAGAAACCCAACTCACAAGCCAAGCACTGCTTGGCATTATTCCTACAGACCTTGTACTGTCAGATTTGGCAAAATCCTTCGGAACCACTTGGAGAAAGATCTTGGGCCTTCTCATTTAATTGTTTATTAGAGGTTGTACTTCCCCATTCCAGCCACCTCTACCATGTCAAAACCGAGGAAACGACTTTGTAAGACCATCAGTTTCAGGAGTTGAATTTGAATGGCAGTAACATTGCTGGGTTTATTGCACTTATGTCCAGATTGTAATGGCAGAATGAGAACTTGCCAGATGTGTTCCATTTGGGGGTCTAGGTACAGTGTTGATGTCTGAGTTTTCAACAAACTAGGGGTTTTTGTGGTATAACAACCCAAAGAAGTCTAGAAACCAACACATAGACTTTTAAGAAGAGTAATTTTTTTTTTTTTTGAAGAAAATTAGCTATGGTTAGGACACCACCAAGAGCCGTTAGTTTCCTTGGTTCCTACTGTAACACAAATGTTCTCTACCCTAACTGCACTATGAACATTATTTCCTTTTTCTGTTGTTTGGGTAGGCAAATTTAAGAAAGAAAGAGGCCATAGTTTTGGGAATAAAATGCAGGTTTCCCAAGATGCATTGCTTTATCGCCTTGCCATAGATAAAGGGTTGAAGTTACTCAGGTTATCGTAAAGTCTTTTGTTGCCTGATTCCTATATCTTAGGCTAAAGGTTTAATTTTTTGAATCAACTTGCTTTCCAGACAGTAAGAGCATGATTTTAAAAAAGTAGTTAAGGTCAGATTGAAAGAGACAATAATGAACTTGGCATTTCTCCTGAGGTTATATCTCACCTGTTAAAGAAAAATGCCATTTTTAATCCACTTCAAATCTGATTGATTTTTTTTCAAATTTGACTAATTTTATATAGCAGTTTTGTTTTGTTTTGTTTTGTTTTTAAGCAAAGTTGGAACTTAGTGCTGTAACTAAAAGGAGAGGTGTGAATTCCCCCATCCCTTGGGTCTTTAGTTTGATTCTCTTTAGAAGTTTACTATGAACAGAACTAAACCAATTTCTAGCAATTAGAAAAATCCTAGTGGAAAAATGATATTGAACACTTTTTTTCTGTTTTCTGATGATAGTATCATAAAATTATGAGCTCCTAAACGACTTTAGACATCATCTGGTAAAAGCATCTCATCTTACAAATCTATGTCACTGTGACTTCCAAGGCTGCGATAGCTCATCAGTGAGAGAACTCAGATTCTAAGCTTCTGCCTTCGTATTAGGTGCTCTTTTCCATGACACCATTGAAATGGAGGCTGTACCACCAAAAATGCCTACAATACCTAGCGTAGATAAGTGCCACAGTGGATGGAGTGATTTACTTAATTTCAGAGAGACCCAAGTTCATAATTTGCCAAAGATACTTAACTTGCTATGTGATCCTGGATAAGTCGCTTAACTGTGACAAAGTATTATAACTCTACATAATATGCATTTACGTATGCATATGTAGATTAATAATAGCTAGCTAGACATCAATATCTAGCTAGATATTATTAATATTCATAAGTATTATACATAAGCTTCTCAATTGTGGCATGGGATCATTTTTAACAATGCTACTTTTGTATCGTCTTTCTGATTCAGAAATTATTTGCTATTATTTTTGTTACCCACTTTACTTAGGGATATAGTTTCTAGGAGTTGGCCAACTCCAAATGTGACCCCCAGCACTTTGGGTGGTTTACATTTCTGTGGAACTGTAGCTTTAAGACCAAGAAACTAAGCAGTTTCCATTTTGTGAAATAATTAATCACCCTGCCCTGAGCTTGTGAGAGGCTAAGTAACCTCCAGTTTTGAGCAGTCTGTGAACAAGGAAGGGTAAAGGTGCTCTGAGAATCTGGCCTGTGGCCTCTGGCATTTCAGGGGGCTCAAAATTCAGCTCTGGAAGATTTCCGGAAGAATTGGTTTGTTTCATTTTCCTTAGTTCTTTTCTGTCAGAAGATTTTAATACTTCTATTGAATTCACACAGGATGCATTTTTGTCTTTCATTCAATTATAGATTCAAGCTAGAAGGGACCTTTCAGGTCACTTAACCCCTGAGGAAAGTGGGCCCCAAAATGTTGAAGTCCTCTGGAAATTTCCACTAGCACATCATGAAGAGCAGAGCCAGGATTTTCACCCAGGTCCTCAGACGACAAACTGGGCTCTTTTCATTGTACTTTCTGCTGCTGTTCTTTCTTTTGATGCATGCAATTTTTAAAAGTTTCTTCAAAATAGACATTAGAAGTTCCAGGTGTATTTCCCAATACTTGGTTTAGGCCCCCTATGTATTTTACACTGACTCTATTGGGGTTTCCTTGAGAAATGCTCACCTGAAAGGCAGAGATCAAAATTTGGATTCTTTTAGCTTCTAATGAGGCTAGATAGTAGGTAGAGTGCTAAACCTGGAGTCACGAAGACCTGAGTTCAAATCCAGCTTCCGATACTTACTTAACTGTGTGGCTGTGGGCAAGTCACTGAACCTGTGATCAGCCTCTGTTTCCTTGTCTGAAAAACATAGCGAACAGCAGCACCTACCTCCCATAGTTGTTGTTAGGATAAAATGAGGTGTTTACAAAGTGCTTTGCAAAGTTTAAATTGCAACATGAATGTTAGCTATCATCATCATCATTATTCTGAATGGAAGCCTCTTTTGGTGATTCTTTTGTTAAAAACAATGGAGGACCCTGTGAAGAAGAGTCTCTAGTGGTTATCAAAGAATAGTTGTATCTTGAATACTGTTAGTTCTGTGAGGCGTGAAAGGGGGTAGCATCTGTCTTGAAGGGAGGGGTAAGTGCTCATACTGATGAAACCTTGGAGCCTAGAAGTATCAGGCCTCCTGTTTGTGGGCTTTTCAGTGGAAGTTACCTCTGGGTGCTTCCTAGCGATGAAAGTTATCAGCTTTTGGAATCTCACTGCAAAATGTTACTTAAATAGTGAATGTTTTGGCTTTAGCCCCTATCTCCTGTACATATTAATTTTTTTATGTTGTACCTAATATGTTATATAGAGTGACTCATAGGTTTTCAAGTAAAACATCCCGATGTAATTAGGGAGATCTAATTATGAATTCTGTGTTCTTATGAAAATATTATTTTTCCTCTCTAAGGGAAAAAAGATGTTGATCCAGTGATGGTATATTTAGAACAGTCTTTCTAAAATTATAGCTGTACCAACAGATACATAAACATAAACTAGTAGCCCAAACCATTAATGAAAGATAAATTGTATGAAGGAAAATGACAAATGTTTATGGTTTAGGGGCAGCATTGAAAACAGAGCATGTCTCCTTAGACGCAGCAACTGTTTTAACAGCTGCATTTTTTCCCCTCCCAATTCTTATTTCAGGTTTTTGAGTCATGATGCAAGAATCTGGGCCTGAGACAAAAAGCAATGGTTCAGCCATTCCGAATGGAGCAGGCAGCGGCAACCACTTATTGGAGTGCGGCAGCTTACGCGAAGGGAGAGCAAACGGCGAGACACCGTCGGGGGAGATTGGCGCGGCAGATTTAGCACATATCCAGCAGCAGCAGGTACTGTGACAGATATTACCACTCTGGCCGCAGAAGGGGAGGCCAAATAAACCACTCTTTAACCCTTGGAAGACTTGGATCTTCGGAGCTCTTTACAATGTAAATGCTTTTAAAGGGGAGTGTGTGTATGCGTGTCTGTATGTATGTGCTCACACACGTGTTTGTGTGCACATGTGTGTATGTGTGCATAGAGATTTTTAACTTTACCTATTTAGCTTTATATACCCCAAGTCAGGTTAGATAATACCGCTAAGTGTAGTTGGTGTGGGCACACATAAGCAATGGAAAAGAGAAGTCAAAAAGAAGAGAATGAAATAGAAGCAAGAGAGACACAGAGACAGGTGGAGATAGAGAGACGGAGATAGGCAGAGCCTGGCAAAAGATAAGAATTGCCTCAGAAGCCACTCAGTGGCACTGTTCCCTTGAGATGCCTTCCACAGATACAAGTGTTCATGAGGATGGATACATATCCACGTACCTCGGAGCCATCTAGAACTGTTTGTCCATGGATGGTGAAATTTCTTTTCTATTCCCAATTACTTACCATCATGGACTGCCCTGGATGGCACATGTAAGTAAGGATTACAGTACTGTTTACTGTCTGTGTATATGTATGAGTGTAAACACCTTAGAGCAGGACAACAGCAATGAAAAATTGCCAGACTGTAAAGCTGACTATGGCCAATATGACTATGTGATGTACCCTGCCAAAGATAACGAAACCTTTCCCCACAAACAAATCAGCTTTGCTCAAAAACACATCATTTTTTTCCCCTTGCTATTGCTTATGGGATCAGCAATTGTTAGATGCCTTCAGTGCAGGAAATACTCTTCCCTTCAGTTAGTTCACTATTTGGACAAATGCAGGAAAACTGTCTGGGGATCCTTACTGGGAGCTTTCATGGGATCTCACTAGAGAAAGACAGGCTTTGGCACAATGGTTTCCTGATTTCCCAAATCATTAAATCCAAGAGGGGTCTGGTAAATATTCTCCCCTTTTCCTCTATAAGGTATACAGTCATACTTTAAAATATGTTTTAATTGTTGCCTTCTCAAAAGAAATTTTCTAGTCATTGATTTCTCAGTTCAGAATGGGTTGTTGGAACCAACTGTTGACTGGGAATAAAAAGGGTGCTCTTTGTGTGTGTGTGTGTGTGTGTGTGTGTGTGTGTGAGAGAGAGAGAGAGAGAGAGAGAGAGAGAGAGAGAGAGAAGAGAGAGAAAGGAAGAGAGGAAGAGGAAGAGGCAGGCGGAAAGGTGTAAACACCCAGGACTTCTGATTAGTACTACTGACTTTTCCCTATTAACAGCATAAAAATGTACCTCCTGCCTGCATCTGAAGAGAACTATGGCTTCTGATATATTCTGTCTGTAAGATCTGTGATGCACATTTAGTCAATCATATAGCCAGGTTCTACCTACTGAAATGTTAGTTAAACACAACAATCCATAGCAGACCTGACTGTGTATTTGTGCCAGGAACTTCACATACTTTACACATGCATCTTGCACAATTGGGACCGAGTGGTTGGTCCTTTGTGGTATCATTCTTCATGGCCTTACCAAGCAGAGGCCAAGTTGGAGCATTTTTTCATAGTGTCAATTGGGATTAGCCTGATGGCTCTTCTATCATAAGCCACTGGTAACCTGTTTAAGATTACATAATTGAATAACTGAAAAATTCATACTTTCTGAATTTTCTTTTTGGTAATTAAACATCATTAAAAACCTTAAAAGATGATAAGGAAAAACTTGGCGGGTAAAGAGGAAGGAAAGTGAACCTTATTAGAAGTATTGGTAGAAAAATTAGAAATTGATGGCCAACTATGTCTTAATTACTGCATTTTAGGTAGAACTATACTTAAAGTAGGTTATTGGCAGGTATGTATGTACATGTGTATATATTTGTGTGTGTGTGTGTTTATTTTCAGTTAGATTAGCTTTTCTGACAATCCGTTATAGCTTGTATCCTTAGTATATTTTGGGAAGAAAGGTGAGCTTCCAGTCATTGGGCAAATTTTTATTTATGAAGTTCATTATAATGCCATGCACTTCTCAGGCTTAACTAAGGCATTTTAAATAAGATATAAGCAACTGCTTAAGTTGTACCTAAATGTTCAATGAAACTTTTAGTTGGTGTGGATAAGAAAAACCTTTAGGCAAAACCCAAAACTCTAGGATTAAAAAGGCATAAGGGACTCAGTTTATCAGAGTTTCTTGAAGCTCAAATCTGCTACAATTAAACAGCTCCAAGAAATGTATGATACCAAGTGTGATAGACTTGGGTTGTTTCAATCATTTTCATCCTACAGGTTTTTACTTGAAGTGAGAATACCATCAGTGAGAAAATCACAGCCATGCTGAATTCATTACTGCGGTAGTCACACAAAACCACGGATAAAATTTCAATAACTGCAGGCCACAGTTGAGTAAACAGTTGCACTGAAACTTAATTCCTGTTGACTTTTCCCTCATTCTTCGCCAGGGGCACATTCTGATTCGTAGTGCAAAGACAACAGGGGTTACAGCTTTGATTAATGTAGGACACTGGAAGAGAATTAGAACAGGAAAATATGTTGGAAGTGCATTCAACACAAAGGTTTGGCTCAAAAGGACGTGATAGCAAAATGAGTTAATTATGCTTTGTGTTGATGAGAAGGTTATGGAATTTTCCAGTTCCACCTCGCTCATAATTGATGATACGTGGAGAAAATTTAGCCAATACACAGTATTTGTCAAGGCAAAAATGTTAGGCCTTCCACGTTTGTTCTTTATTATCCAGGGTAATTATGTATTGTGGCAAATGTCTTTTCAGAGAAGAGAACGTAGACAAGAACCAGCTTTGGAGAATGTCCATGTGTTTTATTGACTAGAAGATACTGCCATAACTCAACAGTCACTGCTCTTATTCTTTTCACCCAAGGGAAGGCACCATTCCCCAGGAGTGGAGAAACTTACACACAATATTCCAAGACCCCTACTTATTCTCTGGTTCATCCATCCCTGAATGAATTGTCTTTACCTTGCTTTCAATCTATGCTTATGTGGAATATAAACCTATTACTAAAAGTAGGTGGGTTTTTTTAAATATGATCTTTTAAAGTTAAAGAACTAGCTCTTTTTTATGCCTTTTTAGTTGTAATAATTGATTTCTAGTTCCCAGCATGCCCCCTCTTAGTCCTAAAAATAGGTCTTACATGTAATAACAAAAGTCCACTTTCTTCCTGCTGGAATACTTGCGCATAGACAGACCTCAGAGACAAATGCTGTTACTTTGTTTCACAGTTATTTATTTGTTTGTTATGAAAGGATATTGAAAAAAATTCAAAACAGTCCACTGAGTTGTGTGGATCCAAAGCTTTTAAAAAGGCTAGAATTTTAGAAAGCAGAATTTTGTTTCCATACAGCTTCAGATGGGAGCATTTACAGATAAGCATATTACATAGAGCATAATGTTTAGAAGTTTCTCTGTATACAGCATATGCTGTCAGGTCAATTAACAGAATGCGTACTAGAGAATGTTTATTCAATAAAAATGAATAGCTGCTAAATAAAACAGCTATTTCTTAACAACATTACATTTAATGTTGGGGGTCCCCCCTTCACCTGGCGCCTACATTGCCTCTGACTCATCCCAGTGAGGAGAGAGTATTACTTCTGTTGTTCATAGGGGCATCTACAGTTTGCTGGGAGGAGGGCGCTTTGTAGAACTTTTGTCCAGAGTCAGTGCCGGAAGGTCAGCTGTGCATTTTATTTATTTTGTTGGTTTGTATAAAACAGAGTATTGACTTCAAAGCCTTTTATGATATTTGACTAAATGGAGCACTTTTTTTATGGTGATTGTTCAAGATGTCTGACCTTTCAATCAGAATGTGGTAAAAGCCGACATAGGTGAAGTACTCTCTTTAAAGGGAATGAATTCCATAGATCGAGGATGGAAGCCACACAGCTTTGCTTATTTCCAATGGAGCAAATCATAAAAGCATATAAAAAGAGTGAATGAGGATGGAGGTGTCAATGAATATTTGAAGGATGTTTTTTAAAAGGAATATCACCACAAAAACGAGGGGAAGAAACTAAAATTCTATGGGTCCTTTTCTTGAGGAATTCGATGACACACTCAAAAGGAAAAGGCAAGAAAGACAAAGAGTGAGCATTAAAGGATCCTAGAACTATGCATCCACTGTATATCTAGAGTATCCAGAAAACCCGTGGCATACCTAGTGGCTCAGCAGTGTCTGTAGTGACTGACATTTTCAAAATTTGTTTGGGACAGATGCCCCTCCTGATCCAATTGAAAAAAAAGAGTTGATTTCATTAGCAAACATTTGTTTCCTGGGATGAGAGGTGCACATTAGGTGTGAGTAGGTTGTAGCACATTACCAAGAAGTATTGCACCAGGTAGGCAGCGCAGAGGGTGTTATCAGACAGAAATATGACCAGGCAAAAAGGCAGGTTGGTCACGTACTGAGGGCAAGAGATGGACAGCACGGAGGCTCAATTGGTGTCCAGGAGGTGTGCCATGGAATCTTGCAGAAGGCTCCCAGAGAGCTTCACGGGAAGAGGAGTCAGGGACAGGGACTGCCCATGTGGATGAATTCACGTACTCATCAATGTATTGAAAATCTAAGCAAACATTTGAAAAATGGAAACTATTTCAACTCTCAACTCATCTTGGTAATTGAAGCAAACGTACAAGAAGGGCACCAACTTTCCTGCAGGTACTTCCAGTCTTCACTTCCAAGGAAAAGACTATATAAAGCATTTGGATGGGTAATGAGAAAGCATAAAAAGTTCTGTATTTATCTGTCTATCCATCTATCTGTCTGTCATTTCTTTATCTCTATCCATCCAGACATCTATGTTTGTTTATCTGTCTCTACATTTTTCTATATCTCTATCTATTCATCTATCTGTATCATCTGTCTACCTATCATCTCTATATATCCATCCATCTCTCACTCTGTCTGTGTCTCTTTGTGTCTCTTTTTCTATCTTTTTTGCTTCCTCTTCTCCCTTTCTTGCTTTCCATCCATTTTGTAAGCATCCTCTGTACATTTTCTCCCCTTCCACTATCAGTAAGATTTTGGTTCAACTCCTGCCTAAGACACTTTTAGCTGTGTGATCCTGAGCAAGTCACATAACCTCTCTGGGCCTCAATTTCCTCCCCTGTAAAATGAGGGGGTTGGCCTTGATAGCTGCTAAGGCCATTCTAAGCAGCTCAAAATCTCAGTTGCTCAGATGCTGAAGCAGAATGATACAGCTTCTGTGTTTTCTGACATAGCCTCCAGAAAGGGCTGGTACTGGGAGAATGAGGATGCCCTTTCTTACATCACTTCTCA